GCACGACTCTGCCGAGCAGCCGGCCCCACCGCGGTGGCCAGTGCTGTCCAGCCCAACAGCGAGCCTGGCCAAATGCTGCCGGGATTAAAGCTTTGAGCTTGGAGGACACACGGGGCTGGGGCTGGCAGGAGGGAACCTGGGGGCTCCTGTGTCCTAACAGCTTCTCTTAGGTCCTCAATCTCTGCTGCTCCCGTGCCGGGTACGAATGTGTCGGGCGGGGACTGGCTGGTGTCACCAGTATGGTGACCGTCCCCAGTCTCCAGCTGGGGCAGGAGGAGCTTTTCCCCCTTTGCTCATGCAAGCACCGTGCCAATGTCCTGCCCAAATGGCTTTGCTGGCTCTGCTGCTTCCCACGGTGCCTTTGTGTCCCCGTCACCTCAGAGGGACGCGTCACACACAGCATCAGCTGCAGATCCCAGGGGACAGTAACCGCTGTGCTGTTTGTAATACGCTGCACTCTGTAAATCAAGGGGACTGTCAAGGGCAGAGGAAATGGATTTGCTCCCCTGGAGCCCATGGCCGGGTGCTCCTCACTCCCACCCCAGCCAGGGCAGCACAGATCCAGCCCCTGGGGCCGTGTGCCCAGCGTCTGCCCCACTCCACCTCCTCCCGCCTCGTCACGTGTCGTTAAACTTTAATTCACCAGAACCGCACGCTGCCCCCCAAGGAAATCAAGGAGGGATCAGCATCAATTATTTACTAAACCTTGATAAATATTACAATAAATAGAAATGATTTCCATTTAATCTCTCCTTAAGCAGCGCTACGCGGAGGGTCTGCTGGTGCTCCCGCCAGCTGTGATTCCAGCTCTGCTCGGCCCACCCATGCTCCCCCAGACCCACAAGCGTGTCACGGTGTGTCCTGACACAGCCAGGGCTCATGCCGCTGTGACACTGCTGGGAGGGTGATTGGGACATGGAAAACCTGCTTCCAGCACAGGCAGCTCCCACGGGCACCCCAGCACCATGTCACCTGTGGTGCCAGCCCTGAGGTTCCAGAGGAAAGATGCTCCAGGAGGTTGAACAGCACCAAGTGTCCAACTGGGAAGCAACTGGCACCAGCATGGGTCTGCTCTGGGACATCTCCATGGCTCACTGGGGTCTGTGGCTGGTGTGGATGAAGCCCACAGTGGGCATAGTCCTCCTGGTGGGTAAAGCAACCTGGGACCATCACATCCACAGGCGAGGGTGGCTCCAGATCCTTCAGGGTTTTGGAGCAGCTCCCAGAGGTGATTGTTTCCACCCATCAAGGGCTGGCGGGGCACAGAGCATCGCTGGGGATGGGCACCAAGAGGGGGACGCGGTTTGGGCAGCCACAACCAGGGGTG